AAAAAAAAAAAAACAGGCGAAGAAAAAGCTGATGTTAGCGTACCACGCCTAACTCCCAATGAGTTTTTCGACTCGCGCGACGGACATAGTCAGTCAATTTCTCAATGGGCTGAAAACCTAAATCCTCGAATTTGATTGGTTAAAAATGTCATCCGAATTTGATCGGTTAAAAATGTCATTCGTTTCTATTAGGGCCATGCCATCGATTCTTTTGGTATAGGAACTCATCTGGTAACTTGTCAAAAGCAGCCTGCATTGGGATGTGTCTTTAAGGTACGAAAGCAGATTTCTAGATAATATGAGATGGTGAAGCTAAAGAAATAAATCGCTCATATGCCGTTTTGACTCGAATAGCTGAAACTTCCAATAACAGTCGCATATGAGAGAAAAACTACCTGCAAGTGTCGCTCTGGAATGAGCCCCGCATCAAAGAATGCGATGCTTCTTCGTGCAATTTAGCTTTCTATTCTATTCATTGTCTCTTGCCAGATTTTTCGAAATGCATAGTAGGTTTCTTCAGGTCAAAGACAGTCAATATTTAGAATTTTTCAATTTTCAGTCAGATTTTTTCATAAACACGAGACAGGGGAAGAGCAGTTTGTTCACAGACATAATCAAAGAATTTATGGGCCACATGATCTGATATCGATAATCGCGAATTCAAAAATATATACTTATCGTTTCTTGAAGGAACGTATTATTCGATCGTTCTGGTTTTCTACTCGTCCAGCGAATTTCTGGAGCAGTCGACATCTGAAACTATAAAAGTTCAGCGTTTTAGTTAATCATGAAACTCCTGGGTAATGTCCGTAATTTCCTTTATTTTTGCTAGCTTGTTGAACTAAATAGCGATGCTCGAATGAAACTCAGCCAAGACATAGAGAAAGTTACGATACCTGGAAAGAAGGAGGCCTTCCGTTTGTATGGCGGTGACGGTAATTGGATTACACTTTGATTACAGTTAAAACTCTCAAAATTATTGCGACGTGTGACGTTGATTTTTTCCATTATGCTGATCGGACTAAGTTGAGGTTCAGATCTCTTAGCGTCTAACCTATCCGAAGAGACTGGGTTCGAGTTCTGGCTTGGTTCAGTTCTGTTCTCGGTTCTTAGAGTGTCCTTCTCCACCCAGGACTGTAATTGTGTATTAGTGCACTGCAAGGAAAAAAACTTAACTAATTGCCGGGGGGGGGAGGGGAGGGAAGGGGATGGTGGGGTTACTCAGCAGTAAATAAGCATCCAATCCAGGGGGAGGAGCTATTGATACTATTTTCCGCTTCATTTTTCAGAAAGCAGGATTGAGCAGGGATTATTGAAGATTTTGTAAAGATTTGTGGTTTTATAAGCCACGTGGCTTTCTCGACTGACCAAACGATGGTGGCATTTGGAATTTTTTTTTTATTATTATTATTATTTTTGTTTTGATCCAGAATGCTAACTCGTTACAAATTTGTGGTGGTTTTCAGGGCGGGCCCTTCTTGATCTCATGCTCAGGTGCAACGAGGCACCTCCGTCTCCAGGGAAACGTGTATTGTGCCGGCATCCATTTGATGAGGCCAAGCGAGCGTATGTCTGTCCTTCCCATGTAGAGGCTTTATACCATGTGTACTGGAAAGATGGCAAGGTGGAATTAAGTGCTGTTATTACCCTTCTGTATATACGTTTCTTACAATAGTGCTAACGTCCTGTTGCAGGGTAATTCTTGATGTGTCAGACTTTGGATGTAAAGGTTCTTAGGCTTGGGTTTGCTAGAATGGACACAGGCATCCCAAGTGAACGAACTCTAAAATCAAATCGCAGCTTGGGTTCCTTGTGGATGACATCCCGATGCTTTGGTGAAGGACTTAAGTAAAAGTACCTCGGCTTTGATATTCGCTAAACTTATACAGAAATGTCAAACTAGGTTTATCTAAAGTGCAATCACGTGCTTGAAAAATTTTATTGAAACTTTGCAATTTGATCTTCTCTTCCTCGGCCATCTTCATTAAATTTAGACCAGTGCCTCAGCATTTTAATTCTTTTTGCCTTTTGAAGGTCAGTTTTTACTTCTACGCCAGGTCCACTTTGACATACAATCTCTGTCCTATAACTTATTTTTTCTTCCCAGATATGCAGCCCATTACCACCTCTATCGGAGATTAAAGAGAGAGTGAAGGATTCGTTAAAAAGGTTTAGACAAGACCATCTGAGGGCCTTGAATCCTACGCCTTACAAGGTACGTGAACTCTTTGTGAAACAACCAAGAGCGCCTGAAATGCGAGAATGATTGGTTAGCTCATGCTTTAGAGCGCCCTTTAAAACCAGCTGTACAGCTGCTTTGGGCTAGCCTGTCTCAATATCGCAATCTCATTTAACAGAATTAAGTGGTAGTTTATTTCTGATGATGTTTAGTTATCTTGGGTTAAGGTTTCATTTTTAAAAGTTGTTTCGTTTTTTGCTTATTTTGTTGTTTTTAATTTGTTTTCATGTCTACCGATTTCATTAGCGAGGTGTTGTTTATTTATTAATCACGAAAATCCCAATTTCCTTTAACGTGATTGGTTTAAAAAACTCCTTTTTCCACTAAATCGCTCGCCAAGTTGATGTCGGAAAGTTCGATAAGCCAATCACTTTCAAAGTTATAGTTTAAATCAACCAATCAAAACCTTGGTTTCTTTTAATGCAAATTTTCCCTTTCTTTCTTAACTTGACTATTCTTCGAATTCCTTTCTCGAAAATTGTAATTTTTATGATTAATTAGTGACGAGACTTTTTGTCGTCCAATTCGGTCTGTAATCATAAACTACACGATGAACAAATCGGACTACCACTGCGCGGCCGTCCGATTTTGTTACCACTCGCAGGATTACAGACCGAATTTGACTCCACTCAGACCTCCATTACCATTACTTATCTTTATACTTACTAACGTTTTCTTTCAGGTCTCTTTGAGTGACAAACTGTATACATTTATGCACCAGCTCTGGCTAAATCATGCTCCTATTGGCGAATTGTTTTAGAAAAGAGGGACTTTTGCAAAATCTAGCTTCGTACACTNAGCATCAGTATGCATTTTCATCATACTGTTTTTGTGATATCTTCCTTTTGTACTGATGTGCAAACCGGGGATCTATGGATTACTTGTTACCTCCCGTAGTATCAGGTTTGTGTGTTGCATGCAGACTTAAAAGAGAAAAGCTGAAGAATTGAAACCTCGTGCCAAATCTTCCATCGGTCCAATATGGCGACCGAATAGTCGCGCTGAATCTCGCTCTCGAAAACATAAGCTACCACCCGCAAGCAGGCTACGCTTTCACGAAGACTTAGGGTTATTAAATTCTCAAGGTGAAACAAGCATGGCAATCAACGAAAACATGGTAAAAATGCATTAATCAGCAAAACAACAAGAATTCACTCAACATTTACCATCATATGCGAAAAACTTTAGTTGATTAGCAAAATATTTACATTAAGTTGTTGTTGTGTTTTTTTTTTTTTTATTTTAGTCAAAGCAAACTCTAACTCTCCCATCGCGAATTTAATTAGTATCGAACAGATGTCCAATTTCTCTAGTAGGTGCCATTTTCAGATAGGAACGTTTCGTTGTTCGACATCTGTTTTTCGACGTGTTTGAGGCGATGTATGAGGAGGAAACATCAATTAGTTTTCAGTGGCATACCACATACTTCATTAAAGTTTTTAAGGAGGGCATTCCTTGAGATATGTCCCTTGTTCTCCGAAATTTTCTGTTTACTTTGTCAAGCTTTCACAAATCTGGTATCGATCAGATGTGCAGTTTTTCTATCTAGTAAGTACCGATTTCAGAAAGTCACTTCTCCTCGTTAAACGCCTGTCTTTTTCGAGGTAAGTGTGAGTAAACATCTTTAAGTTTTTATCTCATAATATGAATTTATAATCAGAACATTTGTTGTAGCATGTCACGTTCTTTGGATACTTCACTTAGCCAAATTTTTTTCGTGTTTTGTTGCCCCATAATAATTTTTAAATACTGACTACTTTAAGTTTCTTGTTATGGCTAGTTTCAAATTTTCTTTTCGAAAGTGTTGTGATGCGCCTCTGAATATTGTATAGAAAAGGCGCAATAGAAGCAATAAATATTATTATTATTATTATTATTGTTATTATTAATATTACGTTGAATGTGGACTAACGGTGTATTAAAACACAGGTTTTGATTAATGTGTGAATTGAGAATAAGTGCACAGTCTGTAAAAAACGTAAAGAAAACTTGATAATTGATGTATCTGAAGCTGAATGAACACACGTCTACTCATCTTTAGCGATAACGCCATTAACACAAATCAGAGGAAGATCTTAAAGCTTGGCCAGCTGGTTGTTTCCCAGAAGTATACTTTTTGATAAAAGGAAAAATATTGTTAACCTCAGAAATTTAGAGGTCTTTATATTAATTGAAAAAATCAACCGCAGCAAGTTACTTTAAAGTATATTCTTAAAGCGAATTTTGCTACCAGGGTGTTTGAACATTTTACCAATTGCGATTAACTCAAGGCCAATGTTTGCAGTTTAAAATTGATATTGTCGTCATTGGATAATA